ATGGACATCAAGAAGGCTCTGCTCAGCTCCCCAGCTCTGGGGTTACCTGATCTGACTGAACCCTTTGACAAATTGACGTTGGGGCAGCCTTTGACTATCTATGCTCAGGCAGCCACCAGGCCGCTGGCTCACCAATGCCAGGATGACCCATTACCAGACTCTGTTGCTGGACAAGGACCGAATTCACTCCGGGGCTCCGGTGACCCTAGACCCCGCCTCGCTACTCCCCTCCCGGGGAAGCAGAGACTCATGACTGCTTACAGATCCTGGCTGAGGTCCATGGGACGAGAGCTGACCTCACGGATCAACCCCTTCCCAACCCTGACCTTGTCTGGTTCACGGACGGAAGCAGCTTTGTACATCAAGGGGAGCGGAAAGCCGGTGCTGCAGTGACAACTGAGTCAGAAACAATTTGGGCTGAGGCCCTGCCGCCAGGAACATCGGCTCAACGAGCAGAACTGATTGCCTTGACACAGGCCCTGAGACTGGCAGAAGGTAAGAAACTCACTGTCTACACAGACAGCCGCTATGCTTTTGCCACCGCTCACATCCATGGTGAAATTTATAGGCGAAGGGGGCTATTGACCTCAGAGGGCAGAGACATTAAAACAAAAAGGAAATCCTGGCCCTCTTAGAGGCTCTGCACCTCCCAACCGCCCTCAGTATCATACATTGCCCAGGGCATCAGAAAGGCGACAGCCCCGTTGCCCGGGGAAACCGGAGGGCCGACCTGGCCGCCCGGGAGGCTGCCTTGACCTTGGAAAGCAACAGTCACCTCCTCCAGGCGGCTGTAGTCCCTGCAACTAATGAGGCTTCCGAGAAGACCTCCCCGTCATGGGACTATGAAATAAAAGACATCAAAGCCATGAAAAGACTGGGGGCGACCCGAGTACATGATGGTCTCTGGACCTATCAAGGAAAGACTGTCCTTCCCCGCCTAATGACTAGATATCTGGTTAACAGCCTACACAAACTCACTCATTTGAGCTCCAGGAAAATGAGAGAACTATTAGCCCGGGAAGAAAATACTCGCTACCTGTTGGGAATAGAAGAAATACTAAAACAAGTGACTGAGCAATGTGATGCCTGCGCCCGCGTCAATATGACCAGGCTAAAGCTACCCATGGGGACTCGAGCTCGTGGGCACCGGCCTGGGGTGCATTGGGAAATAGATTTCACAGAAATCAAACCAGGAAAATATGGATACAAGTACCTCCTGGTTTTTGTTGACACCTTCTCGGGATGGACTGAAGCCTACCCCACCAAGCACGAGACGGCGAAGGTGGTCACCAAGAAACTTCTTGAAGAAATCTTCCCCCGTTACGGAATGCCACAGGTATTGGGGACAGACAACGGGCCTGCCTTTGTTTCTCAGGTAAGTCAGTCTGTGGCCACCTTGTTGGGGATTGATTGGAGATTACAGTGTGCTTACTGACCCCAAAGCTCAGGACAGGTAGAACAAATAAATAGAACCATTAAGGAGACTATAACTAAATTATCGCTTGTAGCTGGCACTAAAGACTGGGTCCTCTTGCTCCCCCTTGCTCTCTATCGTGCCCGGAATACACCGGGCCCCCATGGCCTCACCCCTTTTGAAATTCTATATGGAACCACCGTTCCCTTTGTTCAGTTCTTTGACCAAGATATTTCTGACTATGCCAATTCCCCCTCTCTTCAAGCTCACCTGCAGGCACTCCAGCTGGTTCAGCAGGAAGTCTGGAAGCCTCTGGCCCAAGCCTACCGAGACCAGAGGAGACACCCTATTGTCCCCCCACTCCTATTACGTGGGAGACAGCGTTTGGGTCCGGCGCCACCAGGCTAAGAACCTTGAACCTCGCTGGAAGGGACCATACACGGTCCTGTTGACCACCCCTACTGCTCTCAAGGTGGACGGGATTGCTGCTTGGATACATGCCTGGCACATAAAAGCTGCCTTCCCTGAGGATCCGGACCCAGGATGAAAGGCTCAGCGCACTCAAAATCCTCTAAAAATAAAACTTACCCGCTCCTCTCCCTCCTGCTAATAGCCCTCCTCATAAAATCAGACACTGGTGTGGCCTCCAGTCCCCATACCGTTTATAAATTAACCTGGGAGGTTCTCTCCCAAGTGGGGGAGGTCATTTATGCTGTCACGGAACCACATGCACTTGGGACATGGTGGCCTACTCTATGGCCTGAATTTTGTGATTTGGTAGCAGGGTTGGACACTTGGGACATTCCCCATTGCCACCCAAAGGCATGCGCCAGTGGTTCCCACTTTTACAGACGTCGACGTGCACTCATGGACTCCAGAGAAACCACCCCCGGGTGTGTTGATCAAAGAGCCAGAGAGCAGCTAAGTTCAAAGGACTTCTATGTCCACCCCCGAGATGGGCATGCCTGGCAACAGGCCCAGAAATGTGGGGGATATGACTACTTTTTCTGTGCAGCTTCGGGGTGCGAGACTACAGGGGACTCATATTGGAGGCCATCCTCATCCTGGGATAAAATACAGGTACGCAGAGGCTGGGACAAAGGACAATCTGGAATGATAGGTAGGCCTCTTGCCATTTCCTTCACTGCGCAGGGAAAGCAAGCCCCGGACTGGCAGACTGGGTATACTTGGGGTTTGCGTTGGTATCTGTACGGGCCAGACAAGGGGGTAATCTTTACAATCAGATGTAAGGTGGCTCCTGTCAATTCACAGGCAATAGGCCCTAATCAGGTCCTTGCTGATCAAAAGCAGCCTAGCCTACTCTGCCCAAGGCTGATACCAGGCCCATGACCCTGCCTAAAACCACAGCCGCTCCCGCGCCTACAGAAAGCACTCCCAAACCCCCCTCCTCGGCCCCCCCCTTGAAGGCACGGGAGATAGAATATTAGCCCTGATCCAAGGGACATATGCCACTCTGAATTTAACTCGCCCAGATAAGACTAAGGAATGCTGGCTTTGTCTGACTCCGCAACCTCCCTATTATGAAGGCTTAGCGGTTATGGGCGAATATACAAATCAGGCCACAGCCGAGGCTCTTTGTGGGACAGCCATGCAACATAAATTGACCATCTCAGAAGTGTCTGGAAAGGGGCTATGTATAGGTAATGTCCCCACCACGCAACAAGGACTATGCAATGCCACTGAGCCTTTGCCCCAAAGTGGCCGCTACTTGATAGCCCCCAATGGGACATATTGGGCATGCAACACTGGATTAACCCCTTGTGTCTCCACCACGGTACTAGGTGCCACCGTTGACTATTGTGTTCTGATTGAATTATGGCCTAAGGTAATTTACCACCCCTCTGACTATGACATGATAAGTACTGGCCGCATTAAGAGGGAACCTATCTCCATCACTACTGCCATCCTACTAGGAGGACTAACCATGGGAGGCATAGCAGCAGGAATAGGAACCGGTACTGCCGCACTGCAGGAAACTAAACAGTTCCAACTCCTACAACAAGTAATGCGTGCAGATATTCGGTCTTTAGAGGAGTCTGTCGCTGCCCTGGAGAAGTCTCTGTCCTCCCTGGCAGAAGTAGCCCTCCAAAACAGAAGGGGACTAGACCTCTTATTTTTACAGCAAGGGGGAATTTGTGCGGCCCTTAAAGAAGAATGCTGCTTTTACGCAGACCATACCGGAGTGGTAAGAGATAACCTGGCTAAAATAAAAGAAAGACGCCAAAAGTACCACCAATTAATTGAGTCCCAACAGGGATGGTTTCAGAATTGGTATAACAGGTCCCCTTGGTATTCGACTCTCATATCCACTATTATGGGACCCCTGATCATTATATTTCTGATTCTGATGATTGGGCCATGCATCTTAAACAGATTGATCCAGTTCATAAAGGAAAGGTTATCAATTGTACAATCACTGGTTTTGACTCAACAATACCAGCAGCTAAAGCAAAGGGATTTCGAGATGGCAGAAACCTCTGAATGAAAGATTTCATTCAGTTACAAGAGCAATGGGGGAATGAAAGACCCCGGCCCAGCACCGGTGGCTGAGGCCTATGGAAAATTCCTTTCCCCCACAGCTCAGCCGAATAGTCATTTTTTTGATCAGAAGGAAGCTCAGCTCAAGGTCTTTACAGCTGCATAGTCACTACTATCTCTGTCCAGATAGGGGCCCAGGTGTCTATGGTCTGCACAGCCAGCCCAGAAAGATTGGGCAGGAACCTTTGTTCTTCAGATAGGGCCAAGGCCGAGAATTGGTTCTGAGAGAAACCTTAATTGCCTCTCTGTCCAGATGAGAGAAACCTTAATTGCCTCTCTGTCCAGATGAGAGAAACCTCGTTCTGAGCCCCCCGCCTCATTTAAATTACCCAATCAGGGTCCTGTAACTAGGCTTCTCGCTTCTGTACTGCGCTTTTTGCTATAAAAGAACCCCTGAGTCCCCAGCTCGGGGCTCTCAGTTCCCGAGACTGAGACGCCCCGGGTACCCGTGTATTATCAATAAAGCCTCTTGCTGTTTGCAGCCAAGCTCGTGGCCTCGGTGTTCCTTGGGTTCGGGTCTCCCTCCCGTGAAAGTCCCCCGCCTGGGGTCTTTCAAGACAAATGTAATGATTTTTAAGTAGCATTAGGAATTCCCTACAGACTTGAGGCTGATCATAGTACAAGTAAATGTATGAAAGGCTGCAGAAGGATTGGGACTCCTAATCACAGAGACAGAAGCAACGGGAAGGAACCCATAGAATCATGGGTAAATACACTATTACACAGAGAGACCTTTAACTCTGCTTTCATACACCACTCTGACTTTACTCTTTCAGTGGGCAGTTTGGGGAACAGGGACGGACAACAGTGTTTCTCTTGCAACAGGAGATTTTTGGTGCAGCCCAAAATTAAACATTAAGAAAGAAGAGAGTAAACTCCATCTAGAAAGTAACTGGACCTCTCTGGACCTTGAAACCTGTCTCCCTCAAGGGCCTCTTGTCTGTCTGCCTCCTCATTTCTAGAGCACCCAGCAGGAAGCTAGCAGTCCCTCTTTCCCCGCCCTTTTTTAGTTTCAAATTAAACTCACCAGAGTAAAGAAGGTTTTCTTTAAGTTCCTCAAAACTCTGCCTTCTAAATTTGTTCTCACACCTTCAGACGATAACCAAGAGATTCCAACTGTGTGTAGCAGAGCGAATGGAGGCCACAGTAAGTGTCCTGAGGATTCAGTCGCTAAATAAAATCTCTGGTGAGCCAGAAGAGAAACGAAAGTTAAGACTTTGAGGGCTGAAACTGAGAAAGAGAAACTACAGACCTCTCAGCCAATGAGGTGTCACCACATTGATATGTGTGGTTCTACCACCAGAGGGAGACAGTTGCCCTCAGTCCGCTCTGCTTCCAGGAGTTTTCAACATTTTTTCAGTGCCACATGAACTTGTTAATGTCACTTGTTCAGGCTCATGTCACAATCTCCCTAAAAGATCCTGACTTTCGGGAAAGCTGCCGTGATGGAAAGAAAAAGCCTTGTCCATGGATTCTTCATCTCCCCGAGGCCCAGGCTGGGTTTTGTTTGGGTGGCAGGTGTGACCCAAAGGGAAGGAAAACAAGGTGAGGGACAGAGGACTGCAGTGTTCTTCTGGAACTTGGACTTGGGCACTTACAGGATGAGAACAGGAAGGAAGTTGCATTCAGGGCAGCTGCTGAACTTTCATCAGGTCAAAGACACTCTGTCCAATCTATACCTGGCTCACTGGACAAAAGAAAAATGTACAAGCTTCTAACTCAAACCTTTAGTTTTTGCTAGGACTCAAAGGTATGAGTCTGTTCCTGCTGTTTTACAGATACCTGATATCTGCTTCTTCTACAATGTAGATTTTAGTACAGATAATACTAATATCTCTAAAACTTTTAAGTCCTTTTATATAATAAAGTCCATAAAGGCTTCAAAGGATCAAAAGTCATAAAGCTTGGATCTACTTCTCACAGGTCAAAAGGACTCCAGATAAGTACAGCTTTTTGTTATCCTTCCTGTCTGTTCCCTGAGAATGGGATTTTCTCACCTTGGTTTTGGGATTCTTGCCCTTCCTGATCACTAAAACTGTGGGCCTAAAAGTTCTAATTGAGTACATAAGTTTTAACTTCTGTTCCCAATTTAAACATGTCTCAAATAGATTTCCACTTCTGCTTTCCACTTCTGACAGACACATCCGGGCATCAGTTGCTGAATACAGCCTGCACCTAAAGACCACGAACTCTATATTTGCTATGGGTATGAACCAGTCCAGCCAATGTGAACACTTCCTGTTTCTTCAACAGAGTCTGCCAACCATACTCTTCTGATAAAAACTCCACTGCCTAAATTCCCTCTTTGCTTTTGACTAACATTTCAGCTTACTTGGGCCCCTGACTATGACATCCCAAAATCAGCAGGAAGTAGCACAGAAAAAAATGTCACCCCTTTTCTGGGGTTGAGATGCTAAGTCAAAAAGAAAACCACCTTACATAGGGGACAAGATAACAATAAAAATTGTTCACTAGTAACCCAGGATTGGGTTACCAATAAGAAGAAGAGGGAATGAAAAGGGTAAACTGAACTCAAAGGCTTCACTTCTAATAATTTAAAATAAAGGGACCAGACCCTCACTCAGCCCCCTGATTTAGTAGCCATGACAGGCTACAGAAAAGATGCATAGGCCTCTGACACAAGGAAACTCCAACTCCTCTGGCCTCTCGGAGTCTAGGGCAAAACTGAACACAAAGAAACTCCAGACCCCTCCCTCCCCCAGACTCCTAGATGCTTGGTTCCTGGGAAATGTTTGGCTACAAAAGAAACTTCGGGGTGGACCAAAACCTTCCTTATAGTCTCCAGGACATAGTTCTGAAAACTATTGGTATCTATGTACAACAGGCCACCGGCAAGACAATGCCATAGAAACCCCAGAATGTTCCCTCTCAGCACTGAAAATAATTGGTACATAGGTATTTCATGCCAAAATATGACTTTGAGAAATTTGCCTAATTGTTCCCAAATGTCAACCAATCAGAAACCAACCGGCACCTACTGATGTAAACATGTAACTTTTGTCTTTAAAACCTAGCAGTAGACAGGGACCTTCACTCCCTCTGGAGGCTGCTGCAGACAGCTAGCCAAGTGGAATCCCTGTCATGGGTGGATGAACAATTAAAACCTTGCTTTTGCAGTTTAGTGAGTTTGTCCTCCTGGTGGTCTCTGAGGACGTTGCAACATGGGCACAACAATACCTATCCTTCTTCTGAATTGTTAATAATTATATAAAACCCTTTTACCATTTTTGTTTGGTTTTGTTTTTGAAACAAAGCTTCACTCTATATTCCAGACCAGGCTGGAACTCACTAAGTGTTCAGGTAGGTCTTTAAGTCCTAGCAATATTCCCTACCTCAAACTCCTGAGTACAGGGATTATAAGAATAAGGAAGAAGCTCTTCGTCACTAACAAATTATAGTCAGTGCCTTTGTTGGGAGCCATGGAGCCTTTTGGATCAGTATATGAGCACCTGTCCATCAGGTCTCCAGGTGAGGCAAAAGCCAACAGGGACACTCTTACTTGGCAAGGACCAGTGGACGAGTGCAAAATACTGCTGGTACCATGCGGCCTGAATGATCTCTTCTCTTGTAATATTGATGCTTCACTTGGCAGTTATAGTGTCATTTTGTCAACCATACATAGGATTGATGTGATCTGTCTTAGAAACTCCATTCTTTCTCAAACAATTACCCCTAAAATTCTTTGGGAGCTGATGTTTCTCAGATTTCTTGTCTGGTGGTACCAGCTGCCACTCCAGACCCTGGGAACTGGTACAATACGGATGCAGATCATCCCTATTTCTGTAAATATATTTTGAATGGGATTGTTGTTCTTGAAAATGTGTGTCTATGTCAATCATCTTTTAGTTTTGTAAATAAAGGATGTACCTGGCTTGGTATTTGGCCAAGCTAGCAAACTGATAAGTGTTTTTGGTTTAAAGATATTTTGACATAAAAGTTGGGAAAAATACATTTGGCATTTTAATTTTGCCAGAGGTTAATATTGGAGGACCCGAAAAACTTACTTGTTAGTATGGGAAAGCATGCTTGTTTTTGATATATAAATAATAAATCAATGCTTTTCATTGCTTAAGCTTGGCTGTACTGAGACTTACTCTGTAGACCAGGTTGGCCTCAAACTTTGATCCACCTGCCTCTGCATTCCCAGATTAAAGGTGTGCCCCACCATACCTGACTCTAAGCTTTTCTTTTGTTTCTGCTCATAGCTTTGAAACTTAGCTGGGTTGGATCTTGCTCTGAGGTCACTACTCCCTTTATTCCATTTCCTAATTTTTATCTCCTTGAACACAGAATTTAGATTTATTCTACTTCCAGGTACTCTTTTTCACCTCAAAATTTACTTTTTGAAATTTATCCTGCTTAATTTGTTCTTTTTAAATTACAAATCTTCACTGGAGTTGTCACTAATATCCACATGGCAGTCTAAGCAAGGCTGTTTTAAGATTTCTTCTGATACAGAAATTTATCTGAACCTCTTTATTTTAGCCTCAGGACAAGGGCAAAAGGCTATCATTTCCTTCATCAAAGTATCACAAGAATGGCCTCTAGGCAACATTTCAAAATTCTTCTCTGAAACATTTTGAACCGGCTCTCAACATTTCAAATCATTATCATTATAGTACCATTGTCATCTATGTTCCTACTAGTGTGCCCGATTAATCAGTGCTTAAAGAATTCTACAGCTTTTTATCATAAAGTACCAAAGTCCATATTACTGCAAATTACTGCAAACAAAAGCATGGTCAGGTCTTTCACAGCAATACCCTATTCCTCGTACCAAGTTCTGTCTTAGTTAGGGTTTTCATTGTTGTGAAGACACTATGACTACAACAACTCTTTTTTTCCTTACCTCCTTTTTTATTTAAAATTTATGTTTTTCACTTTACATACTAGCCCCAGTTCCCTCTCCGTCCCCCTTACAGCCCACCACCTCCTCCCATCGCACCCCTCAGCTATTCCTCAGAGGGAGTAAGGCCTTCCTTGGGCAGTCAACAAAGTCTGCCATTCCAAGTTGAGGCAGGACCAAGCCCTCCCCTCTGTCTCAAGGCTGAGCAAGGTGTCCCGCCATAGGAAATGGGTTCTCCCAGCCACTCTTATAAAGAAAAGATTTACTTGAGGGGCCTTGCTTGCAGTTTCAGAGGTTCAGTCCATTGTCACCATGATGGGGAGTGTGGTAGGCAGCAGCAAGTGTGGTGCTAGAGCTGAGAGTGCTGTATCTTGCAGGCAACATGCAGTCGACTGACTGTCATACCAAGTGAAGCCTGAGAAAAAGAACTCAAAGGCCACCCCTGCAGTGACATACTTCCTCCAACAAGACCACGCGTCACCAACACTGCCACTCCCTTTGGGGGCCATTTTCCTTCAGACCCCCACATGCCCTGAGCTGCTCCTTTATTGAGAGTCCTTCAGTCTCTGTGAAGTCTCAATCCCTGGAATAAATGACTGAGGTGCCATCTAACATATCAAAGTGGACCTGGCCTTTTTGTACCTTTACCCTCTTGACTGCTGGGCCTTGTTCTCTCTCCTCTCCTCTCCTGCCCACATGGCCCAGCTCACTGTGGCCATCTCCGCTCTGAATTCTCCCACATGTCTCTGCCTCTGGCTCTGCTCCCCCACATATTTTTAATAAAGTTGTCTTAGAAACAGTCCTTTTCTTTCCGTTTCTTTCTTTCTCTTTTTCTTTCTTTTTTCATTCATTATCAAGCTGCTCTTCTCTGGAGAAGCAAGCAGAGGCAAAGGTAGCAATGGGTGGATGTCTGGAAAGCCAGGTCAAGAGTTTCAGGAACTCACTCATGACCTGGCTCTCTATCTATGTCTTGGACTTATGAGAGGTCAGGGGCTCAAGACACTGGGTGATCATCCTTCATGAATAATTTTTATTTTTATTTTCTATTTTTGGTTTTGTGAGACAGGGTTTCTCTGTGGCTTTGGAGACTATACTGGATCTAGCTCTTGTACACCAGGCTGGTCTCGAACTCACAGAGATCCGGCTGCCTCTGCCTCCCGAGTGCTGGGATCAAAGGCATGCACCACTACTACCAAGGTCATGAATGATTTTTATTAAAACAGCAGAAAAGGTAGCCAGAAAAATAATTGGCTGAAAGTTGATTTTGGACTCTCTGGCTCTGGTATCAGAAAAACATTAGTTTCCATTGTTT